CCTTCTGTGCCCCATTCTGAAATGCCTCCATCAGGGACCTTAAGACACTTCTTGCAGATAAAATTGGCTCTGAGGAAAATATGTGATAAGCAGAAGAAGCTAGTCATTGTAGGGGAAAAAATGCTTAACAGCAGAAGCACACTAGACATGGCTATTAAAACAATAATATATTTTTAAGTTTATTTATTTATTTGAGAGAGAGAATGAGCAGGGGAGAGGTAGAGAGGAAGACAGAACCCCAAGGAGGGTCTGCAATGTCAGCTCAGAGCCCTACTCGGGGCTTGAACCCATGAACAAGGAGATCATGCCCTAAGCTGAAATCAAGAGTCAGACACTCAACCGACTGAGCCACCCAGGCGTCCCTAAAACAATAAAGCAGCCTAATACCTTAGGAGACTGCTCAGCTGCCCTGGTCCTAGACAGAGACTATTCTGAGGCTCAAAGAAATTTAGGGTTTGTTCCTTGGTCGCTCAGATGAGTGAGTACATGTCAGTGGTATATCCTGAGTTCATTCTATAGCAAATATGCATCAAAATGTGCCCCCAACATATCACCCTAATGATTTTAAAGAATAACACAAATTCAGTTTTAGTCCTTAATTTTTTTCTGTGATTCATGGTCTTGGTGTCAGTACAAAAACATACTGAGTCTAATGCTCCCTTGTCTAGGGACAATCAGAGAAGTCTACATCTTCGGACACAGCCAGGTGCTCACAGATCTCTGATCCCTCCTCAGTGCTCAGAAGGGCCATGTCCATTGACGAATGTTCGGACACTCTGTCTTCTGCTTGGACTGTGCCCCCGGGGTCTCTGAAGACCACTTAAAATGGCACTGAGGGCGGCTGTGCTGAAGGACCGGCAGTCAAGCCAGGTCTCCAATGCATTTTCTCCAAGTGTCTCCCTATTTCCTCCTTTGTTCGTGACTACAAGTCTTCGGCTTCTCCAGTTCAGTGGCAACGTATTTAATAAGAACCGTGATGCCAGAGATCACTCACTGGCACATTGCTGGGCTTGGCACATAGCCTGCTTTGCGTTGCAGCTGGGATGAAATCAGAGCCATGCCCGTGGGATACCTTAGCTATGGCAGTGCTAGGGATCCAGAACCATCTACCTTATAAGACAGAAGGAGGAAGACCAAGCATCCTGGTCTGCTCAGGACTGAGGGGTTTTCTGGAATGCAGGGCTTTCAGTGTTAAAATGGAGAAAGTTCCAGGCAAGCCAAGGGGTTCACCTGATGGGGATGGGACCATCTTTGGCTGTTTGGAACCACAACCTTTGGTTATTAGATATTCCAACTCAATCTAGAATGGATAGCATAGTCTATTAAAACTGCGGGAGACTTCAGCAATCATCCACCCTCTCATTTTTGCAGAGAGACTCAGCCGCAGAGTGGTGTAGACATTTTCCCAAGGTCACACAGCTTGCAAGTGGCATTTCAGGATCCAGACTCTAGGTTGCCACACTCCCAATTTAGGATACTGTCCACCGCATGCTATCTTTTGCTTTCCCAGTCTCTTTTTATCGCTCTTTTAAAATGGAAAATAGAAAAAAATTTAAAAACGTAAAATAGCTTCTGCTGGTTTTTCTTTTGGCCACAGGACTCCACCATTAGAACAGAGCAGGGGTGCCTGGGTGGCTCAGTCGATTGAGTGTCTGATTTCGGCTCAGGTCATGATAGCATGGTTCGTGAGTTTGAGCCCCACATTGGGCTCGCTGCTGTCAGCACAGAGCCTGCATTCGATACTCTGTTGCCCTCTCTCGGCCCCTCCCCTGCTTGCACTCTCTCAAAAATAAATTTTAAAAAACATTTAAAAAAAAAGGAACAGTGTAAACTGAGTGGGGAGGGGGCTCATCAGCAGAAGGAGGAGTAGGTGAGGGTGAAGATGGTGGCAGCCAAGGCCACAAACTGCATCACAGAGGTCTCCTGGGGGCAGGCAGAAAGCAGCGAGAAGCCCAATGTTGAGGACATGACGTCCAAAGATCACTATCTTGATTCCTACCCTTCCTTCGGCATTTGCGAGGAGATGCTAAAAGACAAGGTGGGCACCTTCACGTACCAAAACTCCTTGTTTCACATCTGACATCTCTTCAAGGACAAGGTGGTGCTGGAACGCAGGCTCTGGCACAGGGATCCTTTGTACGTTTGTGTCCAAGGCTGGAGCCTGCAGGGTCACTGGGGTCAAGTGTGGTGGCATCTCTGATTATGTGGTGAAAATCATCAAAGTTCACAAGTTAGAGCATGTGGTGACCATGGTCAAGGGGAAGGTGGAGGAGGTAGAGCTTCAAGTGGAGAAGGTGGACATCATAATCAGCGAGTGGATGGACTACTGCTTCTTCTAACAGTCAGTGCTCCCCATTGTGCCCTATGCCCGAGACAAGTGGCTGGCACCTGACAGCCTCACCTTCCCAGACTGAGCCACATGGTACGTGACGACCACTGAAGATCGACAGTACAAAGACTACAAGACTCACTGGTGGGAGAACGTATACGGCCTTCACATGCTTGCGTCAAAGGCGTGGCCATTAGGGAGCCCTGGTGGCAGTGGTCACCCACACTGTCAAGGTGGCAGACCTGACCTTCACCTCTCCCTTCTGCCTACAAGTGAAGCGGAATGACCACGTGCATGCCCTGGTAGTCTATTTCCACACTGGTTCATTCTGCTATAAGAGGATGGGCTTCGCCACCGGCCCCAAGTCCTGGTACCTGCTCTAGGAACAGACAAGGCACTACCTGGATGGCTACCTGATGGTGAAGGTGGGCAAGATCTTTGGCACCATTGGCCCGCGGCTCAACGCCAATAATCATGACCTGAACTTCAAGGGCCAGCTGTGTGAGCCATCCTTCTCCACTACCGGATGCAGCGGAGGCGTCTGCCTTCTCCCACCTGGGCCAAACCAGCCCTGCACGGGCCCAGGGGCTGCGGCGTTCTTAGGCAGTTTTGGGGCTCTCCCTTCCCCTCCTTCCCCCCTCAGAAGAGGGTCTTAGGGTCTGGGCTGGGGAAGGCACATGCTGTTTTCCATAACTTATGTTTTTATATGGTGGCATTTACACCAGTAAATCCTTAGCTGGGGAAAAAAATGTGTAAACTGCCCTTACTGTTTTGTTATTTGTTTTGAGAGAGAGAGAGAGAGAGATAGAGAGAGAGAGAGAGAGAGAGAGAGAGAGAGAGAATCTTAAGCAGGCCCCATGCTCAGCGAGGAGCTGGACCCAGGGCTCAATCTTGCGACTCTGGGATCATTGACCTGAGCTGAAATCAAGTCAGACCCTCGACCAACTGAGCCACTCGTGTGCCCCATGCACTTACTGCTTATATTGGACACCACGTTGGGTTGTCTTTATGCTGAGGAGGTGAATCGAATGAGGTTGTTGTGAATGGCCTCAACTGAAGAATATATGGCATTCTTCCATCACCTCTACAGCCACTGGAAGTACTTTTAACATGCAACCATTTGTTACCACCTAATGCTACCATTGACAGAGACAGACACATGCCAGGACAGTGTACCCTTGGGTGAGGCGATCACGCTTATGACCAGATCACAGGCACGTGGCTTTGCAGCTGGAAAATGCATGAAAGTCTTGTTTCTTCCCATCTACTTACATTCTTTTGAAGGGACACTTAAGATGCCTGCTCTACAAGTTGAAATAAATGTACAAAGCAATCACTTCTAAGCATCTCAGAGATCTTATTTAATCTTCATCCCATCCGTAGGAGAGGTGCTATTGTCCCATTTCATGTCTTCGGAGACTGAGGCACAAGGGAAGTTAAGTACTCTCCCAAAGAGCTTTTGTTGTTGTTTTAACTCTACTAAGTGGTGAAGTCTGTTTCCGAACACCACATGCTTTCTGAAGAGAAAATAGAGCTCGGAGACTGCGGTACAGCAAACCAATTTAGAACGCAGCTTTGGGAAGCAAGGGCAAGGGAAAGGTGGAGAGATGTGTTCCCGAAATAAAGGGAAATAAATCAGTAAGGTAAAGATCTGTAGTGAAAAGGAGGGTTCCGTTGACTTCTCTGTACAATATACACGACGGATCCAGGGATACGGATCCAGGGATACGCTTCAGCGCTCGGCTTCCCATCTTCATTGGCCACCCTCACTCACACATGTCGTGTAGCAAACGCCCGATGCTATCCTGCTTCAGTCCCTGCTGAAACACAGCCATCTGGCTTTGGAAAATTCCACCACGAATTATCATCTATAATGGCAGTCCCTTCACAAAGCCCTTTCTGTTCTCCCCAGCCTGATGTGATCTTCCGAAGCTGTTAGAATTTCCTCCTTAGCCTGTCCTCCCTGCAGCTGAGCTGGATTTTGGAGGTCTGTCACACGAACTGAAGAGGTGTGGCAGCATTATTAGGTGTGATCGTAAAGTTGGTGAAGAGTTTTTGGAGTGTCCACCTCTCCATTTTCTTCCTCCTTTCTAGTATATTCCACCATGTGCCTTAAGCTATGATCTGCTCCAGCCGATTTGGTTTCAGCTCTTTATATTTTACTGAAACTTTCCAGACAAAATGTTGTCACTCTCAGCATCATCCACACTTTGAGACTCAGCTTTAGTGGGAGAACATCATTATAAATGTGCTTTCCCCATGCGAGTAACTTAAAAGCATCACTGAATAGGTAGTTGCTTTATGGGAGCAGGAAACTACTCAAATCAAAGCACATGAAAAGCCTCTATGGGGCTCCGATCTATGGACATTGAACATTACTACTTTAACGTGTAAGCACACTGGGCAATCTCCAATTTTACAAGCAACGTCTAGAATTATCAACTTGGATGCCTTATGCGGCACAGCTGTTAAACCCTGGAACGAGACTGCCAGTCACCCCTGAAAGAAATACCTTCAACATGGAGACGAACTGACTTCACCGAACTTCTGGCTTCACTGTACTTTTAGATGGCAGGCTATCATCATGAAGTAGCAAACATGTGGAGGTACCCCCATCAAAACACATCCCTCGTTCAAACACAGCACTCCGCAATGATGATACAAACTATCGTAGAAAGTAGTAGCATGATTTTATTGATGTGTTTTAGTACAGTGTTGGACAATCTTAAAATCCTATGTTTTAAACAAACATAAGCGCTGCAAATGATATAGTCTTGAATCTAGTTGACATCTAACAAAGGCAAGTTCTACTATGAGCATCCGTAAGTTGATTAATATAATTTTAGTTGGAGGATGAGCAGCTTTGGTGTATCTGTATTTCTCTGGCTCCCCCTTCGGCTCGATGGATGGGAGTCCAGCCCCATTCAGCAGAGTTGGACAGAACCAATCTACTTGGCTCACTCATTCATCACTTCAATTCATCATCACTCCAATGGTTCCACGCAAGCAGCAAGGGAGACCCGAGTTCTGGGATTGGGCCACTCCTGAAGTCACCTTCGTCATCCTTCTTGAACTGAAACCATCCAACAGTTAAGGACTACATTGCCACTGGGTATGGCCAAATCTAGCCTAATTAGTTAATGTGCGTAGAAATTCCCAGAAAGAGACAGCACTCATTTATTGAAAGTAAAAGTCACATACGTCTAAACAGGCTTTTTCCAGATCTCAGGTCAACCCTTCCTAGACAGAGTCAATCTGCACTACCCGGCTGACTCTACTGGGCTATACTACCATTATTTCTCAAAAGCCATTTTAAGGTACAGCAAAATGCAATGACCCAAATGATCCTTGTAGACTTTGACCTCTGCCGTAGGGAAGTCTGAAAGCTTAAAGATCGCTGTTCAAGTCTGTTAATGACTTAACGATTTGACTCTCCCACCTGCAGAATTTAGAGCGGAGGCTTTCCTCTCTTTGAGCTTTAAGATTCAGCAGAAGGAGACACTGTTACTACTCCCTGGGCTTTGTCTCTGAGGCAGAATCTCTTCTTTTGGGGCTGAGAAATTCAGGTGGTTGCGCACCAATGTGCATCTCACAAAACTCATAGAGAGTCGACGCCTGCCATCGGCCAAGGGCAGGCGCCTCTCGGAGAAGAATGTCAAGGGCCATCCCATGGACAGAGCAATCTTTGCCTCCAGCTTCACTGTTGGGCCACCACTTCTACATTAGCTTAATGGAGCCATTAATGCTCACTTTTTTCGTAGGCCTTTCTTACCCATGCTTCTCGTTTAACAGTTTCGGTTAAGATAATCAGTTGTCTAACTTGCTACTTTTGATTATAAAAGGCAACGGGAATCGGGAATCGGAAAGTAAAGTGAAGGATGGAATGTTTAAATGTGCACTTGGTGGGTGTTGCAAAAATGCTCCCTTTTGTGATGTTAAAAGCAAAATAACGATCGGACTAGTACATTTGAGGGGGCCTCGGGGAGTCCGTGGTTTGGTGGACACCCACACCATGAAATTGCCGGAAAAAAGGCAAAGTAAAAGCTAGAGCTAAAAATAGGCCGTAAAATAGGACAGCAGGACGGGAGGAGCTGCTCAAAGAGATGTCCCCCTGGGATGGCCACAGCACAGCATCAGTGCCACCAGTCAGCCCACGGGGTCTGGTCTATCTCCAGATGCTTTATCAATCAGATCTATTGCCAAACACCAATCGTGGAGTTTTAGAAGATGACACTGTGGGTAAGTGATCATTGTAACATGATTTCCAGAAGTGGCCGTAACAAAGAAGATATAGAACTACACTGCCCCTGACATGGCTAATGTTTATCAGAACGTAAACGTGTCAGTGGCCATCTTAAGCTACATAAAATTTGGTCAAATTAAGCACGAAAACCACAGTGGCTTATTTGAAATCTGGTTCCTTAAAAAAATCAAAATTCAGGGTATTGTAAGTTTTCGAAGCTTCACTCAGAAGTAAAAGGCTAATTTCGTATACAGGGTTTTACCCAAATGTCCATAGGCATTATCAATATTTACACAGAAGGCTTTAATCCGAAGTCACCTTTGGCAACCTCAAAATATATAAACTATGAACTTCCACAGTGGAATTATATATACTCGAAAGTTGTGGCCTCAAAATACTGAAGAAAATAAAACAACAAAGAAAAAGGCACCTACCAGAACGAGTCAGGATGATGAAACAAAGTTCATTAATGACAGTTCGCTTAAAAAGATGAAATCACCACCACCCTCCCCCCAAACTAGAAATAAATGGTCTTGAGCTTGAGAAGGGGAAAACCATGACTCCTGCAGTACACACAGATCGAATGCTTTTTGCATTACCCTATCATTGCTGAGTCCTAAAACTAAAAAGTCAGACAAATGCACACAAGCCAGCGGCCAGAGCGGGCCGACTCTGCGCTCCACATCCGGGATCTATAGCGGGACGTGGCTGAAGAGGTAAGACACAGATTCACCGTTGTGTGTTCTTCGGATCGCCTCAGCCAAGATCATCGAGATATCAATGACCTAAACGCCAACAGAAAAGGGGAGAGGACAGGGGGGCATCTCAGTCTTATTTAATTAACAACATAAAAGCCCGATTTTATGCAGGGATGATTTCTCCAGCCCACAGAGATGTGCTACTATCAAAATCTTCTACATCTATTTCTTTTGAGAGACAGACAGTTGGGGTCTATCTTCAAAGTACTGACACAGAGTTGTGATCACCTACCTAACTCAGGGGTCGGCACTCGGTAAAGGGCCCAATGGTAAATATTTGCAGCTTTGTGCGCCAGCCTGAACTCAGTCACTGCAGCGCACCAACAGCCACGGACCACACGCAGATGAGTAAGCGCAGGTGCGACCCAACAAAACATTAGTTACAAAACAGATGGTGGGTCAGATTGGGCCTGCGGGCCGTAGTTTGTCGACACTGCCGGGCAGGCATGGAAATCTACGGCCAAACTATTCTGACCATTTTCAAATGGATCCCCCTTGTGCCAAACGAACCGTGTCACTCTCCGATGGATTGGTAATCATGAAGCGGGTCACCGGATCCACTTTCGTGTTCTAATGGTGGAATGGAGGCTTTTGGCGATGAAATGACTTGGCCAACATTCACTGCGACACACAACCAAAATGGGGACTCGAATCCTTTCAACCTAGCTCAGGGCAGTTGGTATAACATGACTGTCACACCAATTCTCTGCTGGCAACCGAAGTCAGGAAGGGCGGGAAGGAGGGAAGCTCTAAAGATCCTTAGCACGCTGTGCGGTTTTTATCTCCGTTTTTTAAAAATTGTGGGGGCGCCTGAGTGGCTCAGTCAGTTAAGTGTCCAACTTGGGCTCAGGTCATGATCTCACAGTTCGTGGGTTCGAGCCCCGCCTCCGGCTCTGTGCTGACAGCTCAGAGCCTGGAACCTGCTTTGAATTCTGTGTCTCCCTCCCTCTCTCCACCCCTCCCCCGCTCATTCTCTCTCTCTCTCTCTCTCTCTCTCTCAAAAATAAACATTAAAAAAATTGTGGTAAAATACGTATAACCTAAAAATCGCCATTTTCACCATACAATTCAGTGGCTTTAATTGCATTCACGATGTTGTGCAGCCATGGTTGTTATCCATTTCCAAACCGTTTTCAGCATCCCAAACAGAAACTGTCCCCAGTAAACACGACATCCCCATCCCCACCCCATCCTCGGTCCTTGGTGCCCACCACCCATTTCTGCTTGGGGTCCCTCAGAGAGGCGAGATCATACATGTGCCCTTCAGGGTCTGGTTGCTTTCACCACCAAGTGGGATGTTGTGTTTCACCACCATGGATTTCCCCACCTTGGTTGTCCATGCCCCCGTGGACAGATATTTATTTGGCTATTTCCACCTTTTGGCTACTGCGAACAGCACAGTTATGTGCACATGTGTATACGTTTTGGTCTGTGGTCTGAACACCCATTTTCAAGTGCGGGGCTACAGACCTAGAAGAGGACTTACTGGTTCAAATGGTAATTCTGTTTAGCTCTGGCACAGCCTGTTTTTTTTTTTTTTACTGCTTTTCTAGTGTGAACGGACTACTTCTAACTTTGAACCCAGCCTCTCTCAGACCTTGCGTGAATCATGCCCTGTGTTACACCCCAACCTGGGCCGCCTGTCCCTTAGCACAGTGTCACACGTGGAAGACTCTAACTTATTTTTGGGGATCGGAGATAGGGTCCTCGCGGCTTGGTTCTGCCTACACTGTAGAAGTACCTGAATCTTGGGACAGTGTCGCATTTTGTCCTCTTGCGGAATGGTGTTTGTGACCACAACAGCCTCAAAGGCGGCATTATTTATTCTGGAAATAGCTGGCCCGGAGAAGATCCCGTGTGTAAGGATAGCATAAACTTTGGTGGCTCCCGCTGAGAGTAGCCTGTAGAACAGAAAACAGAAAAGTGAAGTGTCCACAGATATTCCTGAAACGTTCTTCCCTGAGGGTGAGTTAAGAAGCACAAAGTGTGGGGCTCCCGGGCGGCTCATTCGGTTACACATCCGACTCTTGATTTCGGCTCAGGTCACGATCTCACAGTTGGTGGGATCAAGCTACATTGGGTTCCACGCTGGGTACGGAGCCTGCTTGAGATTCTCTTTCTCCCTCTCTCTCTCTGCCCCTCCTCCTGCTTGTCCGAGCTCTCTCTCTCTCTCTCCTTCTCAAAAAACAAAAACAAAAGTCCAAAAAGCCAAAAGGTGCGTTCCACAAAGAAAAACCGAAAACGATTTTTACTCACGTGTATTTGCCTAGTAAAGAATTTTTTTTTTAAATTTATTTATTTCTAGGAGAGAGAGAGAGAGAGAGAGAGAGACAGCGTGAACAGGGGAGGGTCAGAGAGAGAGGGAGCCACAGACTCCGAAACAGGCTCCAGACTCTGAGCTGGCAGTCAGCACAGAGCCTGACGCGGGGCTCGAACCCACGAACCGCGAGATCATGACCTAAGCGAAAGTCAGATGCTTAACCGACTAAGCCACCCAGGCGCCCCTAGAAAAGAATCTTTTAAGGCATGTACCGGCCTCGGACCCACACGATTCTTCATCGAGCAGCATCCCTGGCCTCTACCCAGAAGCAACGCCCTCCCCTCAGTTGTGACGACCAAAAATGTCCGCAGACACTGTCAAATGTCCCCCGGAGAGCAAAGATGCCCTTGGTTAAGAACCACAGGTGGAAATGAATCAAGCCAGAATACCACCATTTTGACACTTGTCACTATAAAGCAATTACTGAGACAGACTGCATAGACTCCGTCTTTGGGACCCGGTGTGCACGCTGGCTATACTCCAAGCGCTCGAGGCCACGCACAGCTCAGCTGGGCGGGGGGGGGGGAGGGGGGGGCACTCCCCACAGCCTCGCTCTCGGTCCTTCAGGAGCCTGAGGAGGCTGGAGTGAAGGCAGAACAGAAGGGAGCCAAGCCCCAAGGACGCCCGTGAGATGGTCTCTTTTCTTCTGTGCTCAGTTTTAGGTGCAGCACTTTCTCGGACCCTTTTTCAAATACACTGAGGGGCGCCTGGGTGGCTCAGTCGGTTAAGTGTCCGACTTCGGCTCAGGTCATGATCTCACAGTTCGTGGATTCGAGCCCCAAGTCGGGCTTTGTGCTGACAGCCAGCTCAGAGTCTGGAGCCCATTTTAGTTTCTGTATCTCCCTCTCTCTCTGACCCTCCCCCACTCACGCTCTCTTGCTGTCTCAGAAAAAAAAAATTTTTTTTTAAATACACTGAAAGCTCATCTTTAAAAATGAAAAACAGGCAATAAAGGCCCGTAGTTTTGTGGGTTTTTTCCACCAAGAAAAAAGGCAATAAATGAGCCTAGAACATCTTTTGGGTTGAAAGGCCACCCCCAAGCCACCAGCAAGAATTAGAAGAAACAGGTCCAATGTTTCTAAGAGCTGCCATTTTTCCTTTCTTAACGAGACATTCTCACGCCGGCCCAAACCGTCCCTCTTACTTGTCCGCAGCGTGGCAGATGGTGCCACACGTATCAGCCATGTCGTCCACGAGGATGGCCACGCGGTCCTTCACGTCGCCCACCAGAACCATCCGGTCCACTTCATTAGCTTTCTTCCTCTCTTTGTGAATCAAGGCAAATTCCACATTCAGCCTGTCTGCAATTGAGGTGACTCTATTCCCAGACAGACAGACAAGTTAAATACTGTCAATATGAAAAAAGCTCTAAGAGCACCTGGGTGGCTCACTCACTTGAGCGTCTGACTTCGGCTCAGGTCATGATCTCACAATTCGTGGGTTTGAGGCCCGCCTCGGGCTCTGTGATGACAGCTCGGAGCCTGGAGCCTGCTTCGGATTCTGTGTCTCCCCCCCCCCTCTCTGCCCCTCCCCTGCTTGTGCTCTCTCTCTCTCTCAAATAAACAAACAGGCATGGGGGCACCTGGGTGACACAATCAGTTAAGCGACCGACTCTTATTCTCAACCCAGGTCAGGATCTCATGGGTCTGGAGTTTGAGCCCCTCATCAGGCTCTGTGCTGATGGTGTAGAGCCTGCTTGGGATTCTGCCTCTCCTTCTGACCCTCCCCCACTTGTGCACACGCGCACACTCTCTCTCAAAATAAATAAATAAACTTTAAAAAAGAAACCACAGGCGTGTGTTGAAATACTAAGCTGTAGTCCTGAAACTAACATGACACTATATGTTAACTAACTGGAATNACTAACATGACACTATATGTTAACTAACTGGAATTCAAATAAAAACTAAAAAAAAAAAAAAAAAAAAGCAACGTGTTTAACAGCATGAAAACACAGTGTATGTGAAAAAAAAATTACAGGCACAATTAAAATCAAGTTATTCAGACTGCGGTGTAGCCAGTGGGCTCACAAATCCATGTCAACACTTCGGCTTATGAAAACGGATTTCACTGCCCTCGAGGCCTTGAGATTAGTACAGCAGGAGTGTCTCTACTTATCTATGGCAAATGCACTGAAGTCATCCCCTCAGAATGGCATGGGGGGTAAGAGAAAGGCAAGATGGCAGGCCAGGCTGATCGGTGAGGCATTTGGCTACAACCCTTCTTTTCCCCTGTAAGTGACAGTTAAGACTTATTCCTAACAAATGACGTTGAGACAACGTATCACGCAGATATCTTAGGCAGAAAAAGCTAGAACAAAAGTGATATACAGTTTCATTTCCGTTTCTTCTAAACCGTGTTTACATTCTCCCTCCCGCCCCCCCCCCCATCTCAATTATTTCGTTTCACCAACTTCCCCACACCAGTTTCGTGTGAATGCGGACTAATCTCAATGGTGGTGTGTTACCTACTGAGGTTTCTTTTTCCTTAGCTGTGGACCCAATTGAGCTTCAAAGGCAATCCAAGAGCGACCTCTTGTGGCAATGTTAAGTTTTACCTGCCGCAAGTCAGGCTTCAAAGCTTTAAGGTTCTAATTGATCAGATAATCAATTTTCTTTGATGAAATGGTTTTTTTTTTTTTTTTTGCACCACGCAAAGATGTCACCAATAACATCAAGTGCATGTGCCCTGTGTTACCTGTGCGGTTTTCCTGCCAGGTGGGGAACAGCTTACTCCAGAATAGGAAGAAGGTCATGATGTGTCGCAGAAGCTTTGAGGAAAAGGAGAGGAGGTGGCAAAACCCCCACGATGTACGCCCCCAAAAGCTGGACTCACCTGGCAGAGAGGCAGGGGAGTGGCTTAAAGGGGATCTGAAAAAAACACAGCGTCTCAAGGCTGGCCGTGAACTCTGGCGAGTTGAGTCTGCATTTTGAAAAGCAGGGGCTGGCAAGTGGATGGGGGAATTTGGTAACTAAGCTGGTGTCTCAAATCAACAGGGAAAAGATGGATTTTTTTAAGTAAATAGTTTTGGAACGGCTTGACAGCTGGGGGAAGAAAGAGCTGGATTCTTCTTCACTCTTAGTTCCAAAACAAATATCAGATGGGAAAAAAGTGAACTGGTAAAAAGGAAAGGGGCAATTTATTTTAAAATATATGAATCCATGGGAGAAGAAGAGTCGAGAGAAGGGTGAATCCTTCCTAAACCCAGAAGCCAGAACATGAAGAGAGAAATGGCTACAGAAGAATGTTCTAGAAGTCCTGCAGTGAATAAAAATAAAAAGGCAAGAAATGAACCACCTGGGGATATATCTACAATACACCCACACCCACGAGAAACAAGGGTGTGACCTCCCGCCTCCAGAAAACTCCTAACAATCCAATATGGTAACAGGGAAAGGTATGAATGGGCCCTCATGGAGAGTACACAGGCCGGAAAGGGCACTTGACCTTTTATCCACAGCAACCAGGCTTGACAGGAAAAGACACCATATCATCACTAAGACAGAACAAGGAAGTGGAGCGGAGTGGAGAATGGAGAACTGGGCGCAGCACACCACCATGTGTGTTAAATACAAAGGGAGCCGTGTGCGAATAACAGAAATCTGAAACTGGGAAGAACCAAGGTCCCTTAAGAAGGAAATGGGGGAACGTTACCCAATTCGAAAGTTTGCTAACAGCACGTGCATTTTTAGACTCTCTAAAAAATAGGATTGGGATAGGAAAGGCCCCCACAAATATATGGAATCTGTTCTTCTGATTAGCTGCCCAAGAAATTTTTTTCTGGTTAAAGAAGCGGAATACATTCTCTGCTATTAAGCAGACAATTCTCCGTGTCCTTTGAGCTGCAGGTCCGGGCCCAGGGCTCTGCTGGTGCCCGGCTGGGGTCTGTGCCAGACAACTTTCTGCTTCTGGCTTTTATGTATTTGTGCCTCCTTGCTGTCAACGTCCACTTCCTGCTGCTGTCGGAGGCCCGGCCCCACCTGTTCGCCCCCCCTCTCCTGAGCAGAGAACCGAGCAGTCAAGGCAAGCACCTAGCGCTCATCAGGGCTCTTCTGAGGACTAGGGCCTCTGCCTCCCTGCGCGGGCTTTAGGACAGCTTTCCGGGCTACTCATAAGCTTCTACGTCTCATTCTAGGCCCCTTACTGGGCTGCAGGTGGACGAGGCATCCACGTGAGGCATCTGCGTTTTAAAGATGTCCCGAAGCTCAACAGTCACTGGTCACTCTCAGGGTTCTTTGTCAGCTTGCTGGCTTTTGCACCAGACTGATGGACGGAGATCTTCCGTTCCTCTCCTTTCCTGATGGAGACCCCCTCCCCGGGCACTAAAGCCCTACGCCAGCCTGTCTTCCTCTCCCTGATGGCCGCGGCACAGATCCGCAACGTCAGCAAGCCTCAGGCCGCCGTAAGGCACCCCAGACCGAGTTGGTGTTCTTTCATGGTCACCCTCTGTTCTGGACTCTGTACCGACTGCTCCTTAACGCCCTGAGTCTGCAAAACCCTGAGACTTGCGGCTCAGTACCGTTTTCTTACGCCGTTCAGTGTGCCCGCATTCTGATGCTGTTAGCACGTCAATTTCTGTCCAACTCAGTCACGTCACAGTCCAGTCATCGTTCCGTCACCCACGGTGCTGGTGGCCTGCCCCTGTGTTATCTGCAGACCCTGGCTCTGGGTGGGCGGCGCCCTCTGGGTTTTCTAACTTAGATCATCAGGCATGAGGTCCTCTTCAGCGGGGAGTGCTCCCTGAGCAGCTGGGTTGTGGAATCCTCCCACTGCAGGAGCTCCAGAGCCTGGGATCAAGTTCTGTGTAAATTCTCTCAGCGTAGGGACACCTGCACCACAGGGGGGAGGCGGGAGGGACGCAGCGTTCACCGCCCACCTGCACACCGCACAGGCTCCCAGGGTGATTTCTCACGGGTGGCTATTTTGTGCCTACCTCCAAGGGCCTGAGTGAAGACTGGCATCGCCCGCCCCCTGCTGCTGGGGAGAGTTCCAACTGTCGTCTCCCTTCTCTCTGGAGACTTCCATGTGGATGGCTAACACTTAAATTACCAGCCTCTTCCCGGATCTGACAGCCGAACCCCCATGGTTTTCAGCCCTTCTTTACTTCCTGGTCCCGGATACTTCCCGTGTCCTCGGTGCTCCATACACACCGATTTCTTTTGTAAAATTCTGTTCTATTTCGGCTTTCACTGTCAAGTATTTGTAGCAGGAAGGACGAGCTTAGTCGATTGTGTTAATGAAAAACCTTCTTTTCCAATTAGGCTCATTACTTTTATAATCAGAAAAACGTATCTTGGGGCGCCTGGAGGGCTCAGGTGGTTAAGCCTACGACTTCAACTCAGGTCACGATCTTGTGGTCCCGGAGTTCAAGCCCCACGTCGGGCTCTGTGCTGACAGAACCTGGAGCCGGCTTTGGAATTCTCTGTCTCCCTCTCTTCTCTCTGTCCCTCCCCCTGCTCTCTGTCTGTCTCTTTCTCTCATGAAGGATGACATGTTAACAAAGTTGACAGCGCTCTGCTCTGCAGGTGAAGACTGTAGGCCCGTTATTTGCTCATTTGCAAAAATAGCACGTTACGTAATTTACAACACATTCCCTATCTAACACATTAAAAGAAAAGAAGAGAAAAACAACATGCACTTTGGCTACCTTTTGGCTCCCCCGGCGTCAGGTGAGACTATGATACAGTTCTTCCACTCGGCAATGTTCTCCCGGATCCACTGCAGGACCGCGGGCTCCGCGTACAGATTATCCACCGGGATGTCAAAGAATCCCTAAGGGGAGAAGCGAGCACGACATTGCAGAGGTGTTTTTTGGTTTTGTCTTTTTTTTTGTTTTTAAAGATAACCTCATTCACAAAGTAAAATTTGAATTTTGCATTCAAAAGAAGCCTTTTCGGGGCGCCTGGATGGCTTAGTCGGTTAAGCATCCGACTTTCGCTTAGGTCATGATCTCGCGGTTCGTGGGTTCGAGCCCCGCGTCGGGCTCTGTGCTGACTGCCAGCTCAGAGCCTGGAGCCTGTTTCAGTCCGTGACTCCCTCTCTCTCTGACCCTCCCCTGCTCACGCTGTCTCTCTCTCTCTCTCTCCTAGAAATAATAAATAAAAAAAAATTAAAAAAAAAAAAAAGAAGCCTTTTCTGCAGACTCCCTTTTCTGAATTTTAACAGCATTACAGCCAAAGCCAGGTATGTTCCAGGAGCCTATTTCAGTCCAATCCTTATCTCTGGAGACATTTTCTATTCTGTTACCGACTGCCTGTATTCTCAGGAATAGGAGAATGGCTTTGCAAGGGAGTGGCGGGAGAGGCTTGTTGTGGCTTAAGCAGCTTATGATAAGCTAAATGTTTCACATACGTTGTATTACACAGCAGGTACTGTATGATTTGGCCTGTTTTACAGAGGAAGGGACGAAGTTATGAAGAGGTTAAAAAACATACATCTGCCCCTCTCAGGATTTTCGAGACGCTGAGATGGAATTACGCAGTTTACTACCAAGAAGCCATTCCCACTGCTCCACAACTCTTTGGACAGAGGCTGGTGGCAGAGACGCATGATAACTACATTGACCTATATGTCCAAGTTCAGTAACGACGCAGATCCAGGAGACCCACCATATATAAACTCAAGCACGAGAAACGTCACCTCCTTGGAAAACAATTTAGGAGAATGAGGATTGAAGCCCTTGCACTGAAGCCCCCCGATCACAACCGAGGGCAAGAGGGAAAATGCGGGAACCTGGATCTGTGAGGCGTGCAGGTCCATGGTGATGATGTGGTCTGCCCCAGCCACTGACAGCATATTGGCCACAAGTTTCGCGGAAATCGGAGCACGGCTCTGAAAAATAAAGACACGGATCTTAGAACAGGAAAAGAGGAGGGAAGAGATACATTTAATAAGATCGGCATTAATCAAAGTCATTTAATACTTCAATACTTTAAATTATTTAAAAGTATTTAAAGTATTAAATTATTTAAAAGTATTAAAAAGTATTTAAAGAAAAATTACATTATAACGACAAAAGCTATTCATTCCATTTTATTCACCCGATATTACAAAGAAGCAAACACTTAAACATACGTACCTGTAACATCACAATCTGTACAATGCAAATAGTGACAAGTGAGTGAATAAATAAGAGGTACCGAGAGAGACGGTAGCATCAAGGACATTGAGTTTAAAGAGACTGGTTCTGAGGGGCGCCTGCGTGGTTCAGTCGGTTAAGCATTCGACCTTGATTTCAGCTCAGGTCACACACGAACCGTGGGATCGAGCCCCGTGTCAGGCTCTCAGCTCTGGCTGCGTGGAGCCTGCTTGGGAAGTTTTCTTTACTTCTCTTGCTGCCTCTCTTCTCTCTTTCCTCTGTCTTCTACTCGTTCTCTCTCTCTCTCTCTCAAAATAAATATTCAAAAAAAGAGAGAGAGAGACTGGTTATCATCAGAGGCTGCTCTGAGGAAACTGCGTTTAAGGTGCGGCCAGCAGAGGAGAGACACCAGCGTTCCAGAAAGAGCAGCACCAAGGCCAAGAGGTCACATCCAGGGACGGCAAGAAGTCCAGGGTGGCCACGGGCATTAGTCCAAGAGACGGCATCAGGGAATGCTGGCGAGGCAGGGACAGCTGAAAGCCAAGGCCAGCTCTTCAAGAAGGGCTGATGCGCTCCGGCTAAATGCTGTCACAAATTACGACGCGAAAACCAGACTGAAGAAAGAACAACTTCAGGTGATTAAGAATCGGTGTTTCAAGAAGGGGTGCAAGGGGATTTATTGACACCATAGCCTTTTTCAAGTTACTGAACTTCTCCCTAGCTTTAGCTTCGACATCATAAATCCCGGACAGTATCTGTCTACATCAAAAAATATACACAAGACTACAGAGAGACTGAATCTAGGAAAAGAGGTCAGCATTTTACTGTCAACAGGAATAGGCTCATATGCCAGCCCCCAAAAACATGCATATAAGCTTAGAAGATTTCATTCAGACTCACACAACGTTATGTCAATGACATCTCAAAACTGCAACCAAAAAAGACGTTTCAGTCACAACAGTAACAAACGACCCATCCCTGTTAAATACAGGGTATAGAGAAGACTCATGCAAAAGAATACACGGGAAGGAATTACATCATAATGTCAACAACAGATCATTTGTATTTTCTGTGACACATCATACTTTTAAAAACGAACAAACAAACATCGCTTTATAATAATCTACTGTGGACATTAGTAATGGGAATCCCCACCTAAAATGGAGTCGGGAGATTTGGGGGTGGGGGGGGGAAGCTGCCGCTCCCACTCCTAGTCAACTGCAGACACAACGAAAGGGGCACACGTGACCTTACGAGGACTTGACCTTGCACACGGCTACTGCTCCAGCAGCAGAAGAGAAACGAGAAGCCACCAGACTTCGAACTCCCAGTTTCCTCCAGTGGACTTTTAGTTCATAAGAGCCCCCCAACTTTCCCCTTCTCTCCTTCAAAAGCCTACCTTTCCTTTGTGCCCCGAAATCGCCTACAGTCTTGCCACAGCTTGTCTGTTTGTTGGTTTGCATTTCTCTTTTATTCCTGAATAAACCCATCTGTTGCTGGTAAAATAACTAGCACTATTTTTTTGTTAGTATTTATTTATTTTTGAGAGAGCGCAAGCGAGGGAGGGGTGGACAGAGGGAGACCCAGAATCTGAAGCAGGCTCCAGGCTCTGAGCTGTCAGCACAGACCTGACTCGGGGCTCGAACTCACGGCCACTCGCTGCTGACAAAATCCAAAGGCAGAGGGACGAGCAGTAGTGGAAACAAGAAAGGGATTTAGTTGAGTGAAGCCTCCACCGGGGAGACAGCGGACTAGCGTCTCAGAGACGATCTGCAAAGTGCCTGAACCACTTCTAGATTTAAGTAAGGAAAATGCGGGACAAAGGTTGGGGGAGGGGGGTACATGCAGGGGGGTCTCGAAGGTCAGGGCAACCAATCATTTGTCCTGGGGTGATCACCGGGGTCTTGCTGGCACAGGGCGGTCCTTACTGTTTGAGCAGTAAGTTTGGGTTCCCGTCAGGGGGTGCTGTGTCCTCAGGGTGTTCTGCCTGAGTTAAGAAATAAGCTGGAGGGGCGCCTGGGGGGCTCAGTTGGTTGAGCGTCAGGCTTCGGCTCAGGTCATGATCTCACGGTTCGTGGGTTCGAGCCCCGCGTCTGGCTCACTGCTGCCAGCGCAGAGCCCGCTTTGTCCCCCACTTCTCTCTGCCCGTCCCCTGCTCATGCTCTCTCAAAAATAAATAAAACATTTTTTAAAATAAAAAAAAAAAGAGATAAGCTGGACAGGAGAACTTAATTAGAAAGTACAGACTGGGGGCAGAATGGAGACAGTGGAAGTCGTCTTTCAGAACTAGGCTGGCCTTCAGGCGGATTCATTTTCACAGTCAGACTTCCCACGCTGGACAGGTGCCCATTTGAAGGGCGAAGGCCTTCAGCCGAGTTCCCCTTGGGGGCTGGACCGCTCCTCCCAGAGCTGGGCAGGCCTTTCATCTGCTTCCTTCTGGAACCAGGCTGCTCCTGAAAGTCCTCTAAGACATGAGATCCCAGTCATCAAAATGCTCTGAGCGCTTTGAGGACACCCCGCCCCGCCCCCGCTCCCCACTCACTGGGACCCTGGCCGGTTTTATGTTTAATCACTATGGTCCTTCCGCATGCACTTTTATAAATAAATGGACTGACTTAACCAGAAGTAATTTAGAACTTCAATGGCCATTATGGGGAACTTTCAATCTCCCCAAACTTCATTCTCTTGAAGCTGAGCTGAACCACCATGGTTCGAAACTGACAAAACTGAATGGGAATCTCTGCTTTAACTGGTAATCTGAAGCTTCCAAACACGATCAGGAATGTAAAACTGCCTCTCTCCAAAACACAACTTATAAACTAAATGAGGCGATTAAAAAGAAAAAAAGGCTTCTGAGGCCTCTTCTGCACCCCCACCCGCACTACAAGGCAGCCACCTTGTGCTCAGGCCCCGTCCCCTGGGCGCCACCTTCCTCTGTTCTCTCTGCACCCTCCCATCTCCTCTGCTGTCTCGTTCTAATCCTGATCCTTGGCCGAGTCTTCCTTTTCCTCAGAAGTTCCCTCTGCTCTCTCCTCTCCTGAACCAACTAAAACCTGCCCCTTTAAAGTTACATCTTCTGAGGGTGTAAGTGGACCCCAAGTTTCTTATATTTCCTGGACTAAGGCTGAACATCAAGCCATAGTTAGAGTTTCCTAAAATGACGGGCGATCCCCTCAGGTTTGCGGACGGTAGTTACTCAAACCTACCACCCCGGTTTCTCAGATTTAGGTCAACTGGTGCCCGCGCCTATTGGTGACAGCTGGCCCAAACGCTGGATGAAACTAGCCCAATGGGAAAATCCTGAGCAGGATTTAGAGAAACAGATCCCGACCCTTTGGCAAGACGCTAGAAACCTGCTGGAAATCTCCAGTAAGCAATTATACTGGGTTTTTCCTAAGCCTGTTGACTGGAACAAAATTCAGGCTTACACACAAAAGCTTGGTGAATCCATTCACGCTTAGTATAATCAACGCCAAACTGTCTTTAAAGAACATTCCAGTCTTCCTTCAGATGCCGAATCCATCGGGGTAACATTTAACTCCGTGTTTATTAATCACCGCTCCGGGATCTTTCCCTTTTAGTTAAGAGGACCAGGATCGAATGGGAAACTGGGCACTTCAGATTCAACTGACCTGGCAAACAAGCTTGCTCACACCCTAGGTGCGTCACCTACAAGAAAGAGCGCTAAAATTCTCATGGCTCAACTCTGGCAAATGGAGGCTCCTAAAGAAAACCGGAAGCGTAGTTTGGACTATGATTTCCCTTCCAATGTCCTAATTCCCAATGATGGGTGTAGAGAGCAAGATGGAGTCACTCGTGTCAAGCAGGAGCCTGTATGAAGCAGTGATGCCAACAGCTAAGCGCACTGCAGCTATAAGATATCACCAAGACCAGCACCAGCTGACACTCCCTTGATGTCATCATACTCTCCTGGGTCCTCCACATGGGGGTCCCGGGGCCCCTAGGGTGCTTCATCCTTTAAACTTCAATTGTTCATGGCTTTGTCCTTCCTTATTAGTCTTTTGGCGAGCTATTTGCACCTTGGCTGTTTCTGGTCTAACTGAGGGATGGTTTTCATCAATAACGTAGGCGCCCCTGCAATGGGAACTCCGGACATGAAGAGCTTTACATTTTTAGGATCCTTAGACCCATGACTATGTCTCGGGAGTCCTGGTCGTGAGCTTCTTTCTGATTCTGAACTCTGTGGGGTAGCACGGCTCTTCTACCCACTGCTCCCTGCAGAGAGCCGGCCGCACGGCTGTGCCGATACCTTCGCATTTCCCCCTTGGTGGGGCGTCTGGAAAGTCCACATTCACGCACATGTACTCCCCAATCTGTTAGTTTTAGTTCTGTTATAGTCCATTCAAGCAAGACTCAAGGAGCCTTTTCTGATTCTTCTAAATTTTCTAAAACACGATGAGTCGGTGACACGGAATCCCGCCGACCACGCCAACGGTCACGGGCACGCTGTGAAGGCGCACACACAAGTTGGCTCCTGCCACAGCGTCGGCGGTGCTCAGTGAGTCACAAAGCAGGGTTAACGTAATGAGAAGGCAGGTTCAGGATTCCAAACCCAGTGACATTTCAGCACATGATTAACTTGGCCTCTTGCAGGGCACACAGAGCAGGACATAAGTTAAGGCACACGAGATACAAAATAACACAGGTGGTAGGAAGTTAATGAACCCAACACAAAGTCCGTCTGTGGGCGCGCGGCTGAGATAAGGCCTTGGCCCGGTCAGGGTCAGTTCTC